ACCTCTAAAACCCCCGATTTCTTATCACAAATTCACCCTAACATTTCCAAATCAACAATCAAAGGCATCCAATGAACATCCAAGTATCAAACAACCGTCAAATCAAAGATTTCGATGAAAAAAAAAATTCCGCGTAAATTTTTTTTTACCTCGACTTGATACAAAAAAAGCCACAAAAGTGGCTGAAAATCTTCGTTTAGGGCCCTTAATATCCCCCCAAACAGTTTCCTTAACATTTGGATGGTCAAAAAGACCATTTTGCCAACATAAAAAAATTTCGGTGGACACTGTTGCAGTGGGATGCAGTGCGATGCGTCCTATGCGGGATGCGGCTACGATGCGGCCGCATCTGTCAAAAGCGCATATGCGCTTGTTTCTGATGCGGATGCAGCCGCATATGCGGTGATGCGGCCGCATTTTAAAACGCTGCTGCTACATATTAATTTAGAGAGGAGGGAGAGCGAAAATAGACAAACTCGAAAAATAAAAATTAAAAATGAGGCTTGAAAGAATATACCTTCTCTTAGGGTTTGCTGAGGAGTCCACGCCAAAAGATCTTGTCATAAGACCCACAAATCAATCTTCTTCTTCTCTATCATTTTTAATCCTACACTTATATATTTAAAAAAGAAAACCCTACCACCTCACTTACTCCTTAACAAACCGTATTCTCTACTATATCCGTACCCTGCATCTTTTAAAATTAAACTTCAAACTCTACCCTTCAATTTCTACAAATTAGAAAGGGACCAATACCTTAAGATAAATAAATAAAAAACTAAATAACTCCAAAGCCACTTTCAAATAAAAAATAAACCTCAAAGCCAAATTTAGTCTTTTAGAAACGCATAAAAAATAAAGACCCGAACTACATCATAGACTTACCATTGAACAATATTTGGGTGACTAGTCTAGCGACTCGCCTCAGTAATGTGGAAGTCGTGCGAGTCTGCTCGAGGTCCATAGTACTTGAGCGAATTTGTACAATACTCAGACAAGGTGCCGAGGCCGAGTTACTCTGCCAAGTTCGAGTCAACTCGGCCAAGTTTTTTTTTTTTCGATGGAAGTTGACTTAACATTAAAATTTAAAAGAAGTTGCACCGTCAAAGTTGGGTCCACCACTCATGGACCTCAGTTGTGTCATATAGTCCTTGAGAGGAGGACCAGACAATGCAGATACAAACACACTGAAAAGCTGAAAAAGCTTATAGATATGCCCAAGCAGAAAAGAAGAAAGCATGGTAGGGGCTTATAGATTTGGCCTTCTACAATAATTGTTACGAGGGGCGAAAGAAAACCACTCAGACCAACTGTATGCAGTTAGGTGTGTTACCGGGCAGCTTCTTTAGCGATGCATCTGCGATCCTTTGGGTGTGCATCCAAGTGACTTCCAGGTCCCTGCATAAGTGATGAATCTCATAAAAAATATTGATCAGATACCAAGGTGGATGACCTAACCCAGAACTCCACTTGATAATGTTTTTGGCATCTCCTTCTATTTGTAGTATTCTTCCCCAAGAATGGTTAAAGTTCTTGATTCCAATTAGCAGGGCTTTGGCTTTTGCTGTTTGCGAGTCTTGAATACCTATGTGTTCAGAATATGTGGGAAGGACTTGTCCTTCGAAATTCCTATACACCCCCCCTACTCCTGCCGGGTCGGGGTTACCAAAGGAGCTACCGTCGAAATTGAGCTTTACCTGACCCTCTGGAGGAGGGGTCCATCGAGGGGTACTTTGGCATTGACGATGACTAAGATTAATTAGATTTGCCCAATCTCGCAAAAAGGAAGAGGCGGAAGTACTCACGAATAATTTGTGGTGGGAGGCCTAGAAACTAACTGAGGACGTTATTTTTCAGAATGTAGACCTGGGAGTATTCATAATACCTCGAAAGATCCTGAAATTTCTTTCCCCCCATATGTGCCAGAGGGTAGCTGCTACCGAAGCTTTCCATAGGACTTGCCCTGACTTCCTAAAGCTGTCCTCAAAGGACTGTGATAACAAAGCCTGGACTGAATGTGGAAGAGCCCACGAGAGTCTAAATAACTGAATAGTTAGACTCCAAATAGAATATGCGAAGTCACAATGTAATAACAGATGTGTTACTGTTTCCTCTTCATTAAGGCACATAATACATCTGTTAGGAAGTTGGAATCCTCTTTTCTGAAAGTTGTCTAAGGTTAGTGGCTTCCCTTGAAACGCTAACCACTGGAAGAGTTTAGTCCTTGGTGGGGCTATAGAGGCCCATGCTCTATTGATGGGCTGGCGAAGTCTGTCCCCTCTACCAATACTCTATAGAAAGAAGCAACAGTGAACCTTCTTGAGCTTGATGGGGACCCAATGATGGAATCCATCCCTGACTGTGGTAAGAAGACTCCATGCAATTCAGAACTTAAAGTTGCAAATTGAAGGAGTTCTTCCTCTGCCAAAGACCTTCTAAAAGATGGGTTCCACGTCCTATTGTGGCCGGATAAAGTCAGTTCAACATCTATCATTGAGTCTTTGTGGTTGGAGATGGCAAAGAGTAGGGGGAATCTTTCTTTTCGTGGTGCAGAGCCTATCCACAAATCCTCCCAAAATCTCACTCTGTTCCCTCCTCTTGCATGAAAGCAGGTATTGGTTATGAACTGAGGAAGGATAGAAATTAGGGTCTTCCAGATGCCTGATCCTGTGGAGTAGGAGTCAGTCTCTAGCAGCCACATTTGTGAGGAGATTTTATATTTGCTTCTAATCACCTATGTCGAAAGTTGATTCTCATGATTTGCTAGCCTCCACCACCATTTCCCCAGAAGTGCCCAATTATGTTTCATAATAACTCTTATCCCCAGACCTCCCTTCTTCTTGTGTGAGCAAATCTTCTTCCAAGATACTAGATGGATTTTCTTTGTTTCTGCTGAACCCGACTATAGAAAATTCCTCTTCAGCTGTTCTATCCTTTTAGCTACTGAAGCCGGAATTTGAAAGAGCGACATGAAGTAAATCGGGGTATTGGCCAAGGATGCTTTGATAAGGGTACATCTGCCTGCCATAGACGTATCACCCTTTCCATCCTGCTAGCCTTCTATCTATTTTATCAATGACGTATTCCAAGGCCTAAGGAGAGCCCTAGGTAAAAGGTTGGGATTTCCTCCACTGCACACTCCCAATCCATTATCAGGTTCTGGTTGATGAGACTTAAGGCCAACTCCCATCATTTTGGAATTCGTCATGTTGACCTTAAATCCAGTGGCCAGCTCAAAGCAAGCAAGGAGGATTTTCAGGTTTTGAACTTCAGTCTTATTTTGCATCAAGGAATACAAGGGTGTCATCTGCATATTGTAAGTGTGACACACTTGGCCCCGTTCTACTTGTTTTGAATCCAGATAGTAACCCAGCCTGGAACATCCTCGATATTGATTGGCTGAGGGCCTCTCCCACTATAGTGAAGAGGAAGGGGGAAAGGGGGTCTCCTTGTCTTAGTCCCCTAGACAAAGGTAAGAAGCCTTTAGGAGATCCATTAACTAAGACTGAGAAATAAGGGCTAGAGTAGCATCCTCTCATCCACATTCTCCATCTTTCGCCAAATCCCATTCTGGAGAGAGTTTGTTCTAGAATTGACCAGTCAATGTGGTCATACGCCTTCTCCCAGTCAATTTTGAAAATTAGACGTGGCTTTTTTTGTCTAATTCGAGAGTGAATACATTCATGAGCTCCTAGGACGCCGTCCAATATTTGTCTGTTTTTAATGAAAGCTGACTGGGATTGGGATATGATCAAATTGAGGACATTTTTAAGCCTGGAAGCCAGAACTTTGGAGAGAATCTTGTATGAGGAATTTAGGAGACTAATAGAACGGAAGTCTTTGATGTCCTGTGCTCCTTCTAGCTTTCGCACCATCACTATGAAGGTGGCATTCAAGGCTTTATTAAGTTTTCCACGGTTATAGAATTCCGCAAAAAACAGATTGAAGTCCTCCTTGAAGGTGGACCAAAATGTTTTGAAGAATGCCATGGGGAAACCGTCTAGACCAGGCACCTTAGAGGATGCCAAGTCATTCACTGCCTTCTCAATTTCTTCCTCAGAAAAAGGTCATTCTAGCCAATCTGCTCTATGGGGTGGAAGGGTTTTGAAATTAAGATTTGCCATAGTGGGTCTAGGTATGTTTTGAGCTGAGTAGAGGTTCCTGAAGTATAGAATGATAGCCTCTTCAATTTCTGGAGCAGAATCAAGCACAGATTCTCCAACTGTGATGTTCTGGATCAAATTCATTCAGCTTCGGCTATTCGCGATTCTATGGAAGAATTTGGTATTTAGGCCCCCTGATTTAAGCCAAGTTACCCTGGACCTTTGATACCAGTAAATCTCTTCCTTTTTTAGTGTTGAAAGGTACACCATTTTGGTTGATTGTCTGAGGTCTGCCTCTGCAGGCGAGAGGGGTCTGGATTCTTCTTTCCTATCAAAGTCCTATAAGATATCCAATTGTGTGTTTTTTGGCATTTGAGATGTTACCTTGAAGTGAAAGGCTCCAAGATTTAAGAGATGACTTCAGAAATTGTAGTTTTTTCTGAAGTCCAACTCGACCAAGTTTTTGAACACCAATCATGGGTAATTACCATCAGCATGAGAAATTGAGAGGTGGATAATTTTTATCTTTTCGCATTCTATTATTAAGAACTGCTTGATTTGTAATATTTTTGTCCTATGCGTTCTATCTCAGATATCAGGGCTTCTTAAATTTGACTTGGATGTTTGGTTTTTCTGTGGATCATCAGAGTTTATCTTCAATTCCAGGAGTCAAATTTTATGCAAAACTGTAATCTTTGGAGTTAACCTCAAAAGTGTTGTTTATAATTAAGTAGCAGAGACAAATGTTTATTTAATCTTTGGAGTTGCTCCTGCTACGTGTCAGTCATGTCTCCTGCTTTTCTTTGCAAGTTTCAGTATTATCACTGCATTTTTTTCATTGATCTTTATTTTTGAGTCAGATGTATTGAAATTCTCTCTTCAATCCTGTGACTGTAGATTATCTGGAACTCATCTACCCGGGCAGAGTTATTGAAGTTCGTGGATCAGCAGCGTGGAAAACAATGCCCTGATGGTTCATATGACATGCAGGATTCCCTTGATTTTTCATATGAAGCACTCTGTAAAGAACTCCATGTTGGCAATGTATTTTTGAGGGTATACAATGATCAACCTGATTTTGAGATAAGCAGCCCAGAGTATTTCTGTGTTGCTCTTCTTGATTTTATATCAAAGTTGGTATCGAGTAAAAGAAACATCATTGAACCTAATGTCCATGACCACTCTTCTCATAATAGCTCAGTTATGGAATCATCTGAACCTCAAAGCAAGGCTGATGAACATCAAAATAGTGAACAGCAAGACCAAGAAAACTCTGAAGTCTCCAATAAAGAAGGAATGCCTCTAGAAGATAATGGAATCCTGAAGAACCTTTCAATGGGGCTGACTTCTCTTCAGGTAAGTCATACATCTTCCCTAGGATAGCAAACTATCACTATTGTTTTATACATAACCAGTTATTTTATTATTGCAGAATTTGCTGACAAGCAACCCAAGTCTTGCTGCTGTCTTTGCTGCCAAAGAACAGCTAGTGCCTCTCTTTGAGTGTCTTTCTCTAACATTTGTTTCAGACAGCAAGATCCCTCAGCTCTGCTTTAGTGTGCTTTCACTCTTAACTAAATATGCCCCTTGTGTGGAGGCTATGGTTGCAGATAGGACGAGCCTTATTCTTTTATTACAATTGCTTCACTGTGCTCCAAATTGCAGAGAAGGTTCTCTTCATGTTCTCTACTCCTTGGCTGGCACCCCTGAGCTGGCATGGGCTGCTGCCAAGCATGGTGGAGTCGTATACATTCTTGAGGTTCTCTTACCTTTACAAGGTAAATAATCTTCTTCACATTACTTAGTTTTGCTGGTGTATGTGAAAAATCCTGTAGAAATGATATTTGACAGAATGTCATTCTTGATTTTATTTTCTTATGTTTCATACTTTGTAGTCATTTTTGTGTCTTGTAGTTGGGAGTACGGAGGCCAAATGATAGTTTCTATTTCTACTAGACAGCTTCTATGGATTGAGTACCATTATCATTTCATATGTTACTTCTTACTGCAAACCGTTGTGAAATTTCAATCTAGTTAAATTGAAATAAAATATGAGAATATATAACAGAAGTTATAAATGTGACATAGTTGGCCATTATCATGGGGTGGCAATATGGATCTGAGAACCTCGAATCTTGTGTAATCATGTCTTGGAAATTAGCTGGTCTCAAAACCCTTTCAAGATTTTAGTTTGTAATTGCTACTTTGAACTTATTTTTGGTCTCAGCAATATGTCATTTTGTGCCCCTTCACCTTGAATTTGCTTTCCAAAAGAGAATACTGTTGCCTGCTCTCGGATGAAACCTGATGTGCCGTTCAAATCGACCTCCATATACCAGAGGACCTATAATTAGGCCTGCATTCCGGTAACCAAGGTGAGTTGGGAAGTCAGATATTTATGCTTAAGGATGTTAATCCACAATTGGTCCCTTAATGGCGCCATACTCCAGCACCATTTACCTAGAAGAGCCAGGTTTTGCGTTCTCAAGTTTTTGACCCCCAGGCCTCCCATTTGCTTAGGGAGGCAAAGTTTGCCTCATGCTATGAGGTGGAACTTGTTGTGAGAGGCTTCTCCTAATTAGAAGAACCTTTTCATTAACTGTTCGATCCTAGAACTGACAGTAACGGGCATGTGGAATATGGATATTTTGCATTCTCAAGTTTTTGATCCCCAGGCCTCCCATTTGCTTAGGGAGGCAAAGTTTGCCCCATGCTATGAGGTGGAACTTCTTGTCAGAGGCTTCTCCTGATTAGAAGAACCTTTTCATTAACTGTTTGATCCTAGAACTAACAGCAACGGGCATGTGGAATATGGACATTTGGTACATTGGGATGTTTGTGAGAGTTGCTTTCATGAGAGTAAGCCTGCCTCCCGGAGATAAAAAATGGCATTTCCAAGCAGCTAATCTGCGATCCACCTTGTCGACAATGTGTGACCACAACCTAATTTTGGGTTTCCCTATGTAAAGGGGTAACCCAAGGTGTTTGGAGGAAATATCTTCAGCCCCATAACCCCAACTTTCAGCAAAACTCCTGAGGTTAGATGAGTCTACTTTGATCCCCATCATTTTGGATTTGTTGAAGTTAACTTTGAAGCTTGTGATGAATTCAAAGCATTTGAGAAACAGGAAGAGGTTGTGGATCTCATCAGGTACTACATTACATAATACCAAGGTATCGTCTGCATGTTGAACGTGGGTGACTGTTGGGCCTTGGTGTCTCACTGAAAATCCGTGCATACGCACTGCCGTATACATCCGCAAAATGGATTGGCTGAAGACCTTTGCCGAAATGGCAAAAAGAAATGGGGAAAGGGGGTCCCCTTGTCTTAGACCCCTGGTAGAGGGGAAGAAACCTTTAGGAGTTCCATTAATGAGGATGGAGAAATGGGGTTGTGAGTAACAGGCCCTCATCCAAGTTCTCCACCTTCTCCCGAAACCCATTCTAGTCTAAACTTCCTCAAGAATGTCCCAATCTACATGATCATATGCCTTCTCCAACTCGAGCTTAACAACAATTCTTGGTTCATTGGACAAGTGCCAGGAGTGGATGCATTCGTTAGCCATAAGGGCCCCATCCAAGATATAGCGATATTTAATGAAAGCACTTTGGGAAGATGAAATGATAAAAGGGAGATCTCTTTGAGTTGGGAGGCCAAGACTTTGGCTATGATTTTGTAGGTGTAGTTTACTAAGCTGTTAGTTCGGAAGTATTTAAGTTGTGTTCCACCTTCAACCTTGAGTATGAGGGTTATGAAAGTTGCATTCATAGCTCGGTGGATCACCCCTCTTGAAAAGAATTCTTCAAAGAGAGCTAGAAAATCCTCCCGAAAGGATTCCCAAAAAAATTTGAAGGGGACAATGGGAAAGCTGTCAAGCCTGAGGGCTCTGTCCGAGTCGAGATGTGAAATGGCAGCTAAAATTTCAGGCTCTGTAAAAGGTCTTTCTAACCAACGAGCTTCCTCAGTGGCAGAACCAGGAAGGAAAGGTCCCCCATGATGGGTCTGGGGCCTTGAGGAGTGGAAAAGAGGTTTTGGAAATAGTCAAGGATGGCTTGCTCTATTTATAGGGGTTGATCAAGGAGTTTTCCCCCCACCTGCAGATGGGAGATAGTGTTGTCGCTACGCCTGCAGTTGGCAGTCCTATGAAAAAAACCGGTATTGAATTCCTCGACCTTCAACCACTTAATTCTGGACCTCTGGTACCAGTAGATCTCTTCTTTCTTCAAGTTGGATTGGTATAGAACTTTGAGTTGGCCTCTCTGTTGGAATTCTAGGTTCGAGAAAGGCCTTGATTTTTCAACAGGGTCAAGGGCCTAATTGGCATAGAACTTTGAGTTGGCCTGCAAAGCAGAGGTTTTATGGGGAGCAAGAGACCTCGGAAGCGTCATGCTCTAGGATTTTAACTGGGCTTTCAGTAATTGGAGCTTCCTTTGAATTTTGAAACTAGCCCAGCCGACTACCAAGTTAGCTAGGGACTGCCACTAGACCGGACATTGGAGTAGAACACAGGATTCTTCCATCCAGGCCAATTCAAACCTGAAAGGTTTGACTACTTTCTCAGCAAGATTTGAGTTTAAAAGGATAGGGCAGTAATCAGAGGTGGGCTTAGGTAAGGTCAGTGAATGGGTTCTAGGAAACGTGGAGTCCCAATCTATGGAAACCAAGAATCAATTTAGTTTGGAGAGGGACAGAGTGGTGCCATGGTTGGACCAGGTAAATTGAGCACCTTGTGTGGGTAGGTTGAGAAGGTTGTTGAGGGCAATGAAGTTTGAGAAAGTTGTCATTGCCAGGGTAATTCTGGTAGAAGAATTTCGCTCATAGGACCACCTAATGACATTGAAGTCCCCACCTATGCACCAAATAGGGTGAGGGAGAAGAGCAACTAAATTAAGTTCGTCCCATAGCAGCGGTCTATTTGAGTCGAGATTGGGTCCATAAACTGTGAGAACTTCCACAACAGTCCATCGGGTATCCTAGATAGAAGGACGGTTACTAAAAATTTGGCTGAGTGGGAGGAAGTCAGGGAGTGGGCAGCGAGGTCCCAAATTACCCAAATTCCCCCCGATGCCCCTTCAGGGGGGAGAGCGACGCATTGACAGGGCTGGCGACCCCGCACTTGTCTGATATGAATCAAAGAGGGATTGGGTAATTTGGTCTCTGTCAGCGCCAAGGTAGTGGGCCGATGTCTAAAGCAAAGATCCTTGACTGCGTGCTTCTTATGGGGTAGACTGAGCTCGCGAATATTCCAATGAGTATCAACATGAAGAAGAGAGAGGTGAGGAGAGTTCCGAAGAGAACGTCTCACTAGGAAACCGTTAGAGGGCACCTGGGCTAGGAGGGGGGCAATGGATGGGTTAGAAGAGAACAGTCCGTCGTAGTTAATGCTGCATGCGAGGGAGGGGTTGGAAGGAGAGTTGGTCCAGAAGGGATGGAGTAAGAAAAGGGGAAATCCCTTGCCAAAGCGGAAGATGGGGGGGTTGCGACAATGGGGGGTAGAAGAGCAGTGAAGAAGGTTCACAGTAGGGGGTGGGTGCAAGAAGTGGAGGTTGGGGAAAGGGATTGGGAAAGTGAACGAGAATAAGGGGTGGGAGACCAATGGGGTCCGAGATAATGATGGGATCTCTCCACTGTAAGGGTCGGTCAGGAAGTCGACAAACACGGGTGGAGGTGGTGTAGGAGGGGAAAACCAACGGGGATCCATGTCAATCGGGGTAGTCTCCATCTCGACAACTGGGTTCAACGAAGGAGGCTCGTAGGCTTCCTCTGCTGGTTCTCCTAAAGAGGTTCCGAAGCCAATGAGGAGAGGGGAGGAGGGAGGAGCAGTTCTAGGACCTGAAAGAAAAGGGGAAAGAAAACGTGCAAGGGGTGAGAGAGGGGGAGGGGGTGGCAAAGAAGAAACCCTAGTAAGCGGCAGTGGGTTAAGAGATGGAAACGACTCAAAAGGACGGGGCAATGATGGAGAGGGTACATTTTGTGGGCTAGTGGCAGAGGTTGAAGGGATGGAAGACGACATGACGGCTTAGAGGTTGCAGCTGGAGACAGGGACGAGCAACGAGGGCAGCAAGGAGCCGAAGAGGATACGTGAGGAAAGGGTTGGACGAAGTAGAGTGTTGTCAATGGAACGGGAGATCTCGGGGGGAGAGAAAGGGAGGGGGTAGGTGGAAGTAGAAGGTGGTGGCTTGATACAGGTGTTCAAGCCAGAATGAGACCGAGGGAAAAAGGAGGTTTCTGAGGTGGGTAGAAGCGATGTGGCCTAGGTGTCTTACACACGAACAACAAGGGAAGCAACGGATGGCGGCTGCGCCAGGGTACTGTCGGAAGAAAGCAAATTTCGTGGCAGCATAGGGTTAGAAGTGGCCCGGCTCGAGGCGTCACTAGCACGACAGATGTCACCCGAGAATGGTCAACTGTGACGTTAGGAATGACTTTCGAGATAAACGGACCTAGGACATGGCACACTTGAAGATTGGGTTGCGGCAGTGGAGGTGGCAAAGGAGGGAGAAGGCCAGGTGGTGAGCGGGTACGGGGTGATGGGGAAATGGAGCCTGGGTCGCTGGAGAAGGAGGTTGTCGATGGAAGCGGTTATGGCGAGCCTGGTTACAGTGCTGTTGTTTCTTGGAAACTACAGTCCAAGCCTCCTGCGGGTCAAAACACGAAGCCAACGAGTTTAGTACGACAGGGCCATGCTGAGTTTGGTCTGCCGGTGAGACGAAGCGACGTGAGGGGGGTGAAACCGTGGACCAGGAGAGAAAAATTTGAAAAAAGGCCCCAGTGACTTCTAAGAAAAGGAAAGGAGGAATGACCTAAGGATCCAAGACGTCAATAATGAGTAGAAGAGACTTGAGCAGGAGGCTCTCCATCGATTTCTAGTGAACTGCCACGAAGGAGCCGCAGGCATTTTCGATAGCTTCAAGGCACCAGGAATGAAGAGGGATGACAGAAGCTGTAAGCAAGACCTTTTGGCAGCGATAGGCCCCCAAGTGTTCAGACCAAAAGGAAAGCTGAAGGGAGGTTTCCTTGAAAAAGGCCTTAGAGGAGCTTCTGAGAGCGGAAACAGCCCCCTACAACTGAAGGGAAGGAGAACAAGAAGGACCCATTAGAAAGTTGTCTGCACTTCAAACCTGGTTCTTTCCATCCTTCTTTGGCCTAGCTTTCTATTCCTTTGGAGTCGTTTCTCTGGGGGTGGAAGACTCCCCTCCAGGGACGACTTGAACTGTTTGGCAAGGTTGGAAGAGGCTACAGAGGGTATAGAGATGAGGCTAGGAGCGTCAAAATGAAAGGGGAGAGAGGATCCAGGAGCACTAGAGGAGGCCGAAGAAGAAGGCGGGATGGAGGTGGGAGAGAGGAAAGAGGAGGGGCTCATTTCAGTAATGTCTGATTGCAGCTTAATATATACTTATTTGGTGTCAAAAGGAGAAGTTACAACTTAAACATGGGAAGTCATACTCCAGGTCTGTCATAAATTGGATATAAGAACCTTAATCTGCTCAGCAACAATTAGTCAAATGACTGCTCTAACCTTTATTTGTTATCCTTTTCTAGGAAAACCGTTCTAAAAACCAATGGTGGATCCTCATTTTTTGTTTGGGCCTATGATGAAATTTTCAATTGATGCTATCTGATACATCATAATGAACCTACAAGCCTTAGTCATATTAGAAGAATGTTACAAATCAATGCTTTTTTAAATCAATGCTGAAGTGCTGAAGCTCTGTGTCTCTATGGAGTTTCTCAACTTTTGTGAAATTAATTGATTCAGGCTGTTGGCTCAATCAAATTTCCTTTCTTATGCCAGTGTATTAATATCTAAGCATCATCCTTACCTATGCCATTGTACTTCAAATTAATTGCATTGCAGATGTGACTGTACAAGAATAAAGCTTGATGAAGGAAATTGGAATTAAGTCATTAATTTAATTAGCTTATTTGGACATGAGAGAAAGTGAACCCTTCGTCCACGTTTAATGAGTGTTTCATTTGGCTGGATTTGGTCATTTTCACATGTGAATGGTCTTCTTTCGGTTGTTTAGATATATAGCATAGTAGCTATCAAAAAACCTGGTATAATGCAGATCTATATTGATGGCCTTCTTTGCAGAAGAAATCCCATTGCAACAAAGAGCAGCTTCTGCATCCTTGTTGGGAAAACTTGTTGGGCAGCCAATGCATGGTCCCAGAGTGGCTATTACCCTGGCTAGGTTTTTCCCCGATGGTTTGGTCTCTGCAATACGTGATGGACCTGGTGAAAATGTGGTTATGGCTCTCGAACAGACCACAGAAACACCAGAGCTTGTGTGGACACCAGCTATGGCTGCTTCTCTGGCTGCACAGATTTCTACCATGGCAGCAGATCTTTACCGTGAGCAGATGAAAGGGCGTGTTGTTGACTGGGATGTTCCTGAGCAAGCATCTGCCCAACAAGAAATGAGAGATGAGCCACAGGTAAGACGATTATAAAAAAAGGAAAAAAAAAATTCACTTCATCAGAGTTACATGTCATCTAAATGGGAAGTTCTATAGATTAAATTAATTGTTTTCTTGATGGTTTAGGTTGGAGGGATTTATGTAAGGTTGTTCCTGAAAGATCCCAAGTTTCCTCTGAGAAATCCCAAGAGATTTTTGGAAGGCTTGTTGGATCAATATGTGTCATCCATCGCTGCTACTCACTATGACACTCAACCTATTGATCCTGAGCTACCTCTGCTTTTATCTGCTGCATTGGTTTCCTTGTTACGAGTACACCCTGCTCTAGCAGACCATGTTGGTTATCTTGGGTATGTTCCCAAACTTGTTGCTGCAATAGCCTATGAAGGGAGGCGAGAAACGATGGCAACTGGTGAAGTACATAAATCAAACCATGTTCGTTCTGATGAATTTCTTGAAGATGAGAATGGGCATGCACAAATGAGTGCACAAACACCACAGGAACGTGTTCGTCTAAGTTGTTTGCGTGTATTGCATCAACTAGCAGCTAGTACAACTTGCGCTGAAGCTATGGCAGCAACGAGTGTGGGAACGCCTCAGGTATCATATTCTCTACTTGGAGACTGTTTTATAATTGATCATGTAATTAATTGCAGCATTGTGTTGCTGCCCTATTTTACGCAATCTGAACTGGGAGTTCTTTAAAGATATGCAGTTTTCAGTTTCGTAACTGATTTAATTCTCTGGAATTTTTCTCGGGTTTTGTGTATGCATTGCATAGTATCATTTTTGTTTTTTGTTTTTGTCTCTACCACATCTCTATACTAAATCTTTTAATTTCTTCAGAAATTTTGTATCAGTTTAGTGGTTCACCTGTTGACCCTGTATCCAGGTTGTTCCCTTGCTTATGAAAGCAATTGGATGGCAAGGTGGAAGTATACTGGCACTGGAGACTTTGAAACGTGTTGTTGTGGCGGGCAACCGAGCGAGGGATGCACTTGTCGCGCAAGGATTAAAGTAATGTTTCCATGATGACACTATAAGAAACAAACCTTCCAAATGTATTTCTATCCCTATATCAAGATGACATGAGTTTGTGAAGATCTGATCATGCAGTTCTTCTAAAATCTAAATATTTGAAAGTACTACGATAATATCCTGTGCAATAATTATCTCCTAGGGTGTTGCACAACATTCAGCAATATTGGTTAAATATTTTTGCTTTACTCAACATTGTTTTCTTTATATGTACCTATGTGGTGCATTGGTGTGATGCTTTCTTTTGGGTTACCTTTACAGCTGTAGTGATTAGGAACTCTACCCTTTAGTTTAGACTGGTAATGAATTCCCCAAGGTGAATCTTAAACATCTCTTGATCAGGTGTCATGTTGAGTTTTATAATCATGAATTCAAAGAAGACTGGCCAAAAAAGCCAGAAAATTAATGAGTAGGGATACAAAAAATTCTTGGACTCTCCATTAGGAGGTGCTGCTGTGGTCTCTAGTGGTGGACAAAAGGTGTGTCCGGTCACACTTAGGTGGTACTTTTGGAGAAAAGATTTTTCTCTGATCTAGTTGTCAATTCTGAAGCATCTTTGAGAGTAACATAAAGTACCTCCATATCACAACAGCTTTACATCTGGTCTCCCATAGGCATTCTAGTCTCACAATAGTCCATGTATTTGGGTGGATTCATAGTTATATCCCCCCCCCCCTCCTCCTCTCTCTCTCTCTCTCTCTCTCTCTCTCTCTTTCGCTCTCTCTCCCTTTAATATTTGGAAGGGGGTGCTACTCATGGTCTTCCTGGAGGTCATCCATCCTAGTTTTAGTTTTTCCTCAATTTTCCACTATTCTCTTGTTATCAAGAATGAATCAGAAGATAGATTTTCTAGATATCTTAAGGTATATATGATGAATATCTAAAAGAGATGTTATAGGATATTTTTGAAGATACTCATTGTTGCTGCTACTTTTGTCGCTTGAAAAGCGATAAACTTTTGAACTCTTCTTGTTTGTGACAGTCTTGAGCACCAGGCTATTGCTAGTTACAGTATGATGTATCTGCAATTAATGGGTGATGCAGGGTTGGCCTTGTTGATGTACTTCTTGGTCTCCTTGATTGGAGGGCGGGTGGTAAAAATGGACTTTGTGCTCAAATGAAGTGGAATGAATCAGAAGCTTCTGTTGGACGAGTACTTGCAATTGAGGTAATAAGTTTTTTTCTAAATTGTTTGGTTCAATACATTTTAGGCCTTGAATATTATTCAATGTGAAAGAATGACTATTCACTGGTAGAATAGTGGCTTCAGGAAACTCACTTCTCTTTGCTTCTAAGGTTTTGCAACTGCGATGTGATATGCCATATCAGTGGAGCATTATTGAGTATGTTGACATAACTACGATTGCAATTCTCTCTCTTTTAACTTGCATTTGCTGCATAGACCATCTCTAGGACTGTTTTTCACTTAATTAGTCTCATTTGGAAAATACTGAGACTGGTGGTAAGTACCAGATGATCTAAATCACGGTTTAAAAACATGCCTAGCCGAATCGGGAATCGCCAAGTTGGCCTAGAACGGCTGGGTACCGCAGCCCGGGCTCACTTGGACCTAGGCTAGTCGGCCCGAACACTGAGCACCACCGCTCCCACAACCCCCTTTCCCCCCACCCTCCCCAAAAAAAAAAGCCAAAAAAAAAAAAACCTTTATTTTTTTTTCCTTCACCTTTTATAAGTTTAATGTAGAAAATGACGAAAAATAAAGCTTTGTTGTTTGAACGTTTATTTTTCCCTTGCTGTTTTTTGAACCCTAAAATGCTGATCTGCAAATTCATCAAGTTTTCCTTTATAGCGCAACCAAATAAACTTGAAACTTGTTTTAGATTTTTTGTGATTTAACCATTTATCAAAGTCCTATGTGAATTTATTGATTACATCGAATATTTGAAGAGATCAAGGCTCAAAAACTTTTACATTTTTTGTCATCAATGCTTAGAGTTGAGGTATGACACAATTTTGGAGTTTCAATCAAAGATTGCTTTGGGGATTTTGATCTAGCAAGGGTTAGGATTGATCTAAACGAGGTACTTTATTTTTTTAATATTTATTTTTTGTCTCAGTTTAGGTTTTCCTGAAATTTTTCAAGAATATCCAAATTTTTTGTAAATATATAGTTAAATATATATTTTTTGTTTTAGGTTGTGTTAGGTAGGTTTAGATAATTTTTGAATAATACTTTTTTTTTCTTGGTTTAGGGTCTTTTTGAAAAAAAAAATTGAGCAAATCTGAAATTCTTTGTAAATATTATGCTAATCGTTTTTTGCTTTTATTTTATATTGTGTTAGGTAGGTATAGCCAATTTTTGAAGAGTCTTTGTAATTTATTTTAGTTTTTATGTATCACTTTAATATGCTATGTCTCAGTTTAGGTTTTTCCTCAAAAATTAGAAGAAATTTTTTTATACATAGTATGCTAATTTTTTTAGCGTGAGGTTTCTTTCAAGTGTCCTCCTTATTCTAAACAAGTAAGGTGCACCTCTAAATTTTTCCAGAAGATGTAGTTTCCGTGGCGGAAACCTTATGAGACTTCATGTTCCATCCTAATTCACCATCTTCGCCATTATCCGAGCCTTATCCCAACTATATGGGGTCAGCTACACGAATCCTATTATGCCATATGAAAATTGGAAATTCTAAAATGGCACAGATGGAGTAGATCCATATATACTTGAAATCTTGAAAATAGATGATTAAGATAACTTGTTACATGTTTTTCTTTATATTCTTTTCTCTTGAGGTTGAGACGATCAATTGGAAGGTTTTCCAACTTCAGTACACTCTTTTGTAATAGATTTTTGGGGTGCACTTACTTCTTTGGTGTGAGGTTGCAACCTTTTTTTTGGTTGCAGCCTTAGATAAACTTTTTCCTTGTTTTTTTTAAGGTGAAGTTTACCTAATTTTTCAGTTTAATTTTTTTTGTTAGGGATTAGATGACTTTTGTTTTGATCGGTTTGATATTTTTTTTAAAAAGCTCAAATTTTTGAAAAATCATAAATTTGTAAAAATGTTATATTGAACTCTTTGGGGGGCTCTGTTCTAGATTGTGTTAGGATGAATTTTGTTAATTTGTTTTGTTCATTTTCCTTTAATTGCTGGTAAAAATAATTTTTTTTGTTTGGTTCTCTATTTTTCTTGAATAATCCCTCAAATTTGTTTATTACATTCTAAATAACTTAGTTTTGTTTTATTGTAAATAACTAAATAATCTTCAATTATGTTAGGGTTTCTACACTAGATTGTTTAAGGATTTATTAATTTTTTGTTGATTTTTATCCTGGATTTCTAATGAAATCAATTTTTCTTGTTCGGTTATCTTTTTTTCTGAAGATATGCCGTGGATTTCTGAAATAATTTTTTTTATAAATATTATGTTTAATTTTGTTGGGTTTCTTGCAAATATTATCTAATAGCACATTGAATGACTCATATGATTTTTGTTTGGTTTTTTCCTTATTTTGAAACGGAATCAATTTTTGTTTGCTAGGTTTTGTATTTTTCAGGAAAAAAAAAAAAAACTTGCGTTTTCGGTATTTTTAGATAATACATAATTTTTGTGTTTGTTTTTTGTTAATTAACAATTTACCTTGAACCTCTAGATTCATTCCTCAATCTGCAGTGCGGCAGTAGTTGGATGGTGGTCCGGATGACTGGGTTATCACATTTTTCTTTTTGATTTTATATTGTATGTGTTTACCCATTTAAATATGAAATTAATATTTTTGGATATTATGGATGTGACTATAGGCACTTACTGCATTTTTTACTGTGAACTAGTTGTTGTATGTCACATAGACAGGAACTAGAATCTCTGTATCAATACCTATTCGACAATTCCATCAAAATATTTGACATATTCATCATTTTTCTTTCCACAAACCAACTAAATTTTAATTCTATATTTTTTTAATTTTTTTCTTTTTTTTTTTTTGAAAAACTTGAGATGGCTGAGTCAGCCGAACCTGTATGAGTTGGCCGGTTCTCTGAGTCAGCTAGGATGCGGCTCGTGGCCGGTTCAGCCCCCCAAGCCGACTTTTGATTCACTAATCTGAATGTTTTAAGTGAGAAGTACTTTGTGCAGTTTCCCATATGTAGGAGTTGCCCATTGTCACATGATCAAGTCTATCTGAGGCATATGGTGAGGGATGCACCTGTGGTGTCTTGGCTCGATTTGCACAACGCATTGCGTGTCACCACATTGCCCATAATGTTAGGCATGATAATTTGACGGCCATAGCTCCGCAATGGATGAATGCACCCCATTAGTTTGCATGTACGGCAATCAATCCCTATAACCCCTAATATAGACTGGTGTGTGGACTAGCACTAATTATTCATGTATGGAAATGCATAAATATGTTTACATGGATCTACCATAGATAAATCAACAAAAAGAAAAGGATAGCATTGTCCTAACTACCCACAAATACTAGGAGGCCCTAAAGATAGTCACCAATGTGATGGCCTAACTAGCTCAAATTAAGTACATGGATAGTCACTAATGCGATGGCCTAACTGGCTCAAATTAAGTACATAGAGAAAATTAATATATTTTTGGACCAAAATATACTTAATTTTATGGCTTTGAAATTCAATCAGGTGGTCTTCCAATGCTTCTTTGCGTTCTTCCTCATTGCGGTACCGTGGGGCTCTGAACTAAATTGGCCCATCAACTGTCTCCAGTAGAGTTTGTTGCTAGCTATGATTTCCTTTGAAGTGAAATATGGAATCCACTTGGGAGACCTTGGAATAGCTTATCTAACAACATGATCTATGGCATTTGATATGGGTTTAACAAATACTTGCACATGAATAATTAGTCAATTAGTTCCCTTTCAGCTCATCAGTCTCCAGGTCACATTCTGGATGAAACAGAAGATGTATTAGCATTATGAAGTAAATAGAAAACTAAAATCCTTCTGACACTATTTTATACGCCAATATGGATTCAGTATTTAATTGATCATTCAGCACCATGGATGTTAACATCTCTAGAGTTTCTGCAATTCAGGCTATGTTGTGTGTTGAGAACCTCATCAAGTGTTTCAGAGGAAATAGACAAATTTAAGATTTGGTTCATGAACCTTTTCTTTGTTCGTTTTAGAGATTATTTATGTTCACCTGTTTGTATGGATGTTTACTGCTGCTAGGGGACTCAACTAGAGTGCTTCAAATCTGTTATGATCAGTAATACTGTCCAGTTGAAATAGCAGGGATCATCACTGATAGAGGCTCTTAAAATTCGATAGACAGGTTTCAGATAAATTAGGCAAGAGGTAAACACCGTTATATATCAGGAATACTTGTCTAGTTATAGACTTCATAGTTTCTTGGGTAACCAGATGTGTTGGGATCGGATGGTGCTTAAAGGAAGCAAAAATTGGTTGATTGTGTTTACATTGCATACATCACTGATCATTGGACTCTTAATTTATGTTTGTCAATTTCTTGTTTGATAAAAGAAATTCTTTCATTCCATAAATGACTTCACTTGTTCAGACTTTGTTTGCCATGTAAGGAAAAGTTTGCAATGTTAAAAGGATTTCTAGATTATACATGGAACTCTGAGGAAAATCCTTTGGTGGTCTTAAGTTAGTTCGTTTGTCCTTGATATGTTTGTGATTGTTGCATAATGTGCAAGAATGATGGTCCAGGTACTTCATGCATTTGCAACAGAGGGAGCCCACTGTACAAAAGTTCGTGAGATACTAAATGCTTCTGATGTAAGTGTCACTTACAATATCAAACACAGTTAGCAATATTTATTTTCTCTGCGCTAATTAAGATTCTGGAGTTGGTGTCTGGGTTTGTTTGATTGTTGAGTGTTAACATTTTTGTGATAGCTCGCAAATGGTGTTTCTAGAATGGTTAACTGACAGACGGTTCCTTATATATATATATTTTGCCTCTGGTTTTCTTTTGATGACTGAGACAATGGATAACAGCATACCTCTAGTTGCATTCAGTACAGACAGGTGGAGATTTACATAATGATTAATTATAGTCTTTGATTTCAGTGACATGGATAACAGTTGTGAGATAATCTCAGCAGTTCCATATGAGGATTGGGAAAGTATACTATGATCCTTTGAACTATGGAGACCATAGTTCCTTTGTCCTTCTCCATCCATTGATGTGATGATGCATTACGATACTGGCAAGTGGGACCCACTACTGTGGTCATATTTTGTTCTGATGGGTTCTGCTCTCTGCATCAGCGTCCATCACTTCGATGGACCCACCATGAGTATCCAGTTGCCCAGAGCACACACTATGGTTTTCAGTAGTCCAATGGATCATTATCATCATGGGAAAGTGTAATATAATCTAATGGGCTAGTTGAATTTTGAACTCCCTGTGGCTATAGTTCAATGGAATCATCACCATCCAGTGATTGGTGGGCAATGATGGAGAGAGGTTGGGGTCCCACCATTACAAGGAATGACCTCAATGGTGGGTCCCACTCTTCATCAGCATCTGTCATTTCATATAACTGTAATGGACTCTGGCTTTCCATAGCCCCATGGGTTATATTGTACTCTAAAGATATGAGATACTTGTGTGGTGCCTAAAGGGGGGATAATTGAAATGTGATAGAGAGAGAGAGAGAGGGCTTGGTTTCGAGACCTTAGCTTTTATAATCACAATCTTGCAGGTGTGGAGCGCTTACAAGGACCAGAAGCATGACCTCTTCCTTCCAACGAATGCTCAGTCTTCTGCTGCTGGAGTTGCCGGCCTCATCGAGAGCTCTTCTTCGAGGCTCACTAATGCTCTCACAGCCCCACCTCCACAACCCTCTCTTGGCAGGCTTTCTGCAGGATCCACTTTGTCACCCAACGGAAAGCAGGATCATGAGCCCGAACCCTAGAAAACACGAGGCATTTTGTGTATACATTTGAGCAAAGCATACCAAGGAGTACAGCTTTTTTTCTTTTTCTTTTTTCACTGTCATCTTATCATGTATAGTTTCATTGTATAGTGTTGTTTTGGCATCTCATTGCTTCTCTTGTATGGGAAAATTGTAGCTTATTGGTGCAAGATGAACATCCACCCGGATATTCATTGTAACATATTGTGCTTCCAATTTTATTTGGCAATAAGCATGTGGCCTTTGAGGTGGATTTGGTTCATTGGTATATTTAAGTATAGTTGTTT